TCAATTCCACCATTGCAGGAATTGGAACCGAGAACCGAGACTAAATTAAAATTCCAAAAAAATATGGGGAGCATTTTAAATTTTATGATTAATTTCAATTGAATATTTGGGGTGTCTTTGTAATTTTCACAGGATATATTTGTTATTTTTGTGAATAGTAGGGATGTACTGTTATTTTCTTGAGTACCCAGAACCAGTTCCATGGGAGTTGGCCTAACTATAACTATGATAAAGTGGACTAATAAAACTCACTCCTATAAGCTAGTTCAAGAAAGGAAAGAGTCTAACTACATATATACATCTACAAATCTTCATCTACATTAATAGCCAACCAATTTGGCAATGTGGGACACATATAACTTCTAACACTTCTTAATCTTCATCTACAAATCTTCTCAAGAAATTTGTAAAATATTACGGATATCGTGTCATTAATATTTTTATTGTAATTAACAGTTGTTGGATTGAATATTTATGTTCTAGCCCAGCTCTCCTCTCTTCTCTCTCACTATTTTCTATCACCCAAATTTCACTAAAACGTGATTCATGACTAGTTCCAAATGATAAACGTATGCTTTCTAAATTTTCTGCAATTTGTAGGGACCTTCTGACTAGAAACATTGAAACAAGGAAAAAGTTAACGAGAATCTTTCCTTCTTTACTTTTGCTGCAATTTGTATTTTGTAGGACCTTCTACTTTTGATAGAAACAAGAAAAGTTGAAAACGTCCCTTTGACAATAATGCCAACAGGCAATATAGAGTTAGATCTGAATTTTTTTTTTTTTTAGAATTAAATCCTCTTGAAAATATAAAATATCATTTATAAAATTATCAAAAATCCCTTATAATTATCAAAAACTCGATATCTCTTATAAAATTATAAACCGCCTAAATAAAATGAATGTGTTTTTCTTTTTTTTTTAATACTTTAAAAAATATCTGGAAAATTTGGCTTAACTATATATAATGGCCGATAAAATTAACCTAACGAATAAAAAGTGAAGAAAAGAGAAGTGGACATTAGAAATCAAGGGTAAATTACATGGAATCCCCCCAGGTTTTTACCCAGCTTTCCTTTCTTCTCTCACCTTAATATTATTTCCTCCCTACCAAATGTCAGAATTCAGAAAGGAAAAGTAAAGAAGAAAAGTTGAGAAGGAAAAAAAGTGAAAGGTAGCAGCAATAATGTATGTTACATAAAGCTTAGGCTATTGGACATCATAACAGCTGGAAGTCACATATGAAATAATTAAGTCACATTATCTTAATTACGATATAAATATTAATTTAAGAAGGTTTCATCTTCTATATTGCCTTAATGTGTGTTCTAACGATATAGGTAAAAGATATTAGAAGATAAAAAACTTTAGCATTTTGATATATTAAAATAAAATTTTGTCCCGGGGAAGTTATTGCCTTTCCAAGAGATGAAATGAATGATTACAGTTTGTTTCTATGTATTGGCTTTAGGCTTTTAAGATCCTTATAAATAGTACTTGAAATTAACTGACAGAGCACTCTTTGTCCTAAACCGGGGATTTTGAAACAATGGACAATGGTAACCCGACTCAAAGAAGGCCCCAGGTCCGGTCCGATTGGTTAAACCGACCAGGCCTGGTTAAACCGACCAGGCTAGGCCGGGTTTCAAAACACTGCTAGATATAATCAACTAACAAAAATCCTCCCATAATTATATTAATAACATAAATCCCCAACTGTTAAGTTTTTATGTTAAAATAAACAACAAAGGGGTAATTTTATAAATATTTATTAGCTCATCATATTGAAAATTCTAACGACACACTAACAACTCACTAATGGCAAAGAACTTCTGTTATTTCTGAAATTTAAAGGAAACTGTTGTTATTTAATTGAAAACCCCTTTATTAATCATAAACCTATCTACTCCCAAAAGACGTAATGCGAGCGAGAAAAGAAGACACTGAAACAAGCCATCTTTTTATTGATTTCACTTTAATCAAGTTTTTTCTTTCACTTTCAGGGGAGGTTGGAACTTTGTTTTTGTTGGTCATATTACATATTTTTGCTTTTTGAGAAAAATGAACGATAAAATGAAGTGATTGATTCTGTTCACTTAACTGATTTGGCCATTGGAAATGGAGACGAAATCACTGAGATGAAGCAAGGTGGTGATCCTCGTTATCAAACTGCAAATTTGCAAAGCCATGAGAATGATGAATCTATGAATGCAGAAGGTAAGTTACTTAATACAAACCTATTATTTTGAGTAATATATTATCATGATTCATGAGTGATATATTTCCCTGGAGGGGCTCTAATTGGCATGTAAAATTAATGTTATTTGTGAATACAAAAATTGATATAATATTAATAGTGTTCACGCGATCTGATCATGTTCAAATCAAGACGGGCGAGCATAAATACACAATATCTTGACAATGAACCGAGTTGGTATATCTTTGGCTTTGAGAAATTTTATAATTATCAATTTGACATAATTAGTACAAAAACCCGTTCTCCTTTTGAAAATAACATTTAAATAAGAATTGAGTTAGTAAAAGTTTTAGTTAAGAAAGTCAATGTTTAATGTACACCATCCGTTTTAACATTTTTAATTGGTTAGGAGAAAATTGGAATAATTTCCATTTATTGAATTAAAATAAAAACAAAATCGACTTCAATATATTTATAAGTGGTACTATAGTTCATGAGTAATCCTTAAGCTTTGATAAAAAGATAAAAAACAATAAAAAAATAAAAAATAAAAAAATTAATTGATGTAAGCTATGAAGATTAGACAAAAGGGCGATATCACTCACTAAATGAAATGAATTAAAGAGTACCTATCCAAATTTATGCATCACCTTAGCCAAAACCTCAGTACTGATAAAGTCTTGTTGGAGTGGTATTGTTGGTTGGAGTTTAGAGAGCATGGCCCAATTAGTGTAATCTGTCAAGGGTAATTCATGGAAGATGGAGTTGTGTTACATTGCCTTCGCGAAATTAAATTACACTAATTAGGAATAATTAGTTCTTATTTTGATAATTAAGAATGTTTATAAGAAGATTGCGGTATTCGACAATCTTATCGAGGAAGTACTTTAAAGTATATTAATTATCCAACAGAAAACAGCTACACATAAGCATGGAACATGTAGATGATTTTTAGAATTAGAATGAATGAAAACAGCTACTGAAGGAAGGAATAAATGGAAAAGAAGTAAAAAAAGAAATTAATTATTCTTGTAAACTTTGATTATCATGGAAGAAATGAACCGATGCAAATTAAAAAAGCAACTTTGATTGTCAGGGAAGAAATGAATTTCATGCAACTTTGATATATTTCCCTTTTGGGAAAGATACCAAGAGAGGAGATCAGTTACAAGGAGCAAAATGTCAGCAATTTCATAGTTATTGCCTTATTGGTCACCCTATATTATTTCTTTTAAATTTGTTAAGAGAGAATTATTACTTTCATTGTCGTGGAAGAAATGAAAGCGCACAATTAATCAGCACATACACTAATGGAGTGTCATTTTGCTGGTGTAGAAAAGTAGAAAGCTGAAGAACTGATGGATCCTGTTCAACCTTCCGATGAATTGGTTAGAAATGGAGACATAATCAATGAGATCAAGCAAGATGATTCCCGTGAGCAAGCCTCAAAACTGAAAAGCCCTGATAATGATTATGAATCTGAATACATAAGGTAAATTAAACACAGTGCTTGTATTACTTTACTTTCCAACTATTTTTTTAGTCCAAAAGACCAAAACTGATCACTAATCAACCCTGTGCAACCTTCCAGTTCCTTGGTTAACAGAAAAGGAGACGAAATCACTGAGCCGAAGAATGGTGGAGCTGCTTGTGAGGAGAATGTCACTGAGTCGCAGAGGGGTGAAGCTTCTGGTGAGGCGAATGTCAATGAAATGAGGCATACTGAAGAGGGTGAGCAGATTGTCACTGAGATGAATCATGATGAAGCTGGGGATCAGGAGATCATAGACCATAATATGGATCATTTTCGGTACCAACCGTTATGCAAGGCAATACTAGAGAATGATTGGAAAGGTGTAGAAGATCTCATAAGAAAAGATCCCCAGTCCTTAACCGCAAATATTAAATATTATACCTACATTGAGACCTTTTTCAACATAATTATTCGAAATTTAGATGCCCCCATTTGGCTTTTGGAAAAGCTTTCATCAAAGGTCGCACCAGAATTACTAGAAACATTGGTTGATTCCAGTGACCGGTCGCCTCTTTCCCAAGCTGCTGCATACGGTAATATCAAGGCTGCACAAGTCTTTGTGAGAAGAAACAAAGATTTACCAAACATAAGAAACAGCCAAGGTGTACTTCCAATTCACATAGCAGCGGAGTATGGCCACAAGGAAATGATTCAATATCTACTGTCAGTGACAAAAACAGCTTTGGATAATGACAAAGATGTTGAGTTACTTCAATCTCTGATCAGATCTAGTATATATGGTAAGTGCATTATAGATTTATAACCGGCAATTTAATTACTTGTTTTCATAGATACACCTGAGTCAACTGATCGTTATTATTTTGCTTGAATCAATTTTTGTTCTTTGCTTTCCAATTTTTCACCATGGTCTCTGGTGGTGATGAATTTCATATGGTGTCCAATTGCAGGTATAGCTTTAGAGTTGATGAGGCAATATCCAAAGTTATCTCGTGAGTTACAAAGCAATGAGAGAGCAAGAATTTTAACAATATTGGCTAGTAAGCCTTCGGCATTTGCAAGTGGGAGTCGGCTTGGATATTGGAAACGCTTAATCTATCATTGTTGGTGATATATACATATAAATTATCATTTATTTTTTTTAATTTACTTTATAGTTAATTAATAGTTGATGAACTTATGCATATATACTTGAAAAACCACTGTTTTTACAAGTTCTTACTTGTCTTTGCAGGGATTCCTGTGCAAGAAGAACATATTCCTCACCCTCCAAGTGTGGATGCAGACGTGGAGAATTCCATTGTGATATCACAGAAGTTTAAAAACTTCACATATGGATCTACTCTTCAACAAATCTTTTCAACATTTGGTATGAGGTTGAACACCCATATATATATATATATATATACACACACACACACACATACATATGTACAAATATTTTATAGAGTACAATATCACCTAATAACTTATGATTTATCTGACAGGTTTTTTTAGCCAAAAATTACATCTCATGCTTTGGAATTTCCTCTTGCAACTGGGTAAGCGTTGAACTAACAGTTCTCTTAAAAAGTAGTTTGAAATTATATCTCCTTTTATTGACTTGAGTTGAATTGTAGTCCCAGGTATCAAAAGCATGCGTGATACAAAGCTAATGCATACACAGACACTTCAAATAGCCAAAATCATGTGTCATGAGGGAATTACTTGGAGTGCAAAAGAGGGTAATGAGACCTTATGGTTCCCTGCTGTTACAGCTGTAAGATTGGGGATTTGTGAGCTTGTCCATGAAATTTCAAAGGCCTTCTACTATTCGTATATTTTCAGAGAAAATGGTCATGGCTTATTTCATCTTGCTATTCTACATCGCCAAGAAGGAGTTCTAAATGTCCTAAATAAAATTTATTCTTTTGTATGGGGTTTTGAAGTTGCCATGACTAGTGTAAAAAGGGACAACATTTTGCACATAGCTGGAAGGCTGGGACCTTCAACTCAAGTAGCAGGTGCAGCATTGCAGATGCAAAGGGAGCTACAGTGGTACAAGGTGATATATGATCTTCTTATAACTCATAATAATGTCGAAGATTTATGTTCAAGAAACATATTAATTTACCGCTGTTCTTCCAAATGCTAACGTTTTTATACATCTTCAGGTTGTGGAAAGTTATGTCCATCCATCCCTTCAAGAACATCTAAATTCTTCTGATCAAACTCCTAGAGAAGTGTTTACTAAAGAGCACAAGGATTTATTGAAAGAAGGTGAAAAATGGATGAAGGAGACAGCTTCGTCATGCGCACTTGTTGCTGCTCTCATAATCACAGTTGTCTTTGCAGCAGCGTTCACTGTACCGGGTGGTAACAACACAGTAGGGATACCCCTGTTCTTGCAACAACCATCTTTCTTAGTGTTTGCTGTATCAGATGCACTTGCACTCTTTTCTTCTACCGCTTCACTGCTCATGTTTTTGGGCATCCTCACTTCACGTTATGCAGAAGAGGATTTTCTAAACTCCTTGCCTATGAAATTGATTATTGGCCTCATAACCTTGTTTTTATCTATTGCAAGCATGATGGTAGCATTTGGCGCAACTATTTACTTATTTCTTTCTCATCCATGGAAATGGGTCATTATTCCAATTTCCCTACTTGGATGTGTCCCTGTGACTTTGTTTGCAATGTTGCAGTTTCCTCTCTTGGTTGACATGTTCTTATCCACTTACGGACCTAGTATACTTAAACCAAGGAAAGTAAGGATGTAATAATATTTATTGTTCAGAAGAGCTACACAAATTGTTTCTTGCTTAACTGATGATTCTTCTTAAATTCTCCAAACTGATGATCAGAAAACAAGATAGGGATATTTATATTAATGTCAGTAGCGGCCGCAACCATAGACTTAAAGGCAATACTTCTTAAATTAAAAGCAATTAACAAATAAACATGAGTAGAAAAGTTAAATAAATATTGAAAAGTACAGAACAGCATGTCCCACAAAGGTTACAGCCTGCCTTGAATTCTCCCAAAGAAGTGAGGTGGTATAGAAATTTATAAAGTATTGAATAATTAATACTACATATGTACGTACAGAGATTTTCTAAAAAGTATTTATTAAGTTGAATTCTTATATTAATTCATCTATTCATTTGGTAATACGTCATTTTGTATGCAAGTCTTTGTATTCACATTTTGTACAGAGTTTGAAATTTTCTTATCCGCTTATTATCTAAGCATTTCCATAACACTCAACTGAGGATGTAATTCTCGGAAGAGGAGCTTAGCACAAGTTCTTCCTTCAGGAAACAAAGTTGTATGAGGTATTAAATTCATCTCGTAAAGTGGCAGATTCACTTGCTATTTATCTTCAGTTTTATTTGAAGAATAGGAGAAGAAGAGAGATTGCCAGAGTGATAATCAAAACATTGGTTTAAGGCATATTAATACAAGTTTCTGCAATCATATAACTAAACCAGTAACTAGTTCATGTAAGTAAATATTGAAATTGTTTCCAAGAGTTCTATTAGAAACAGAATAGAACAGGGCAGCACATAACTTCATCAATTTCTTTTAGCTATAATAATATCTTATTTGTGAATCAAAGATCTCATCTAACCTTAGAGTGTAAACGCAGTGTGGTGTTGAATTTTACATGGTTTTCTTGATTTTTTATTGTTTTTTTTTATTTTGCTCTGTTATGTTTTCTAGGGAACCTCAAATGAGGGGACTTAATATCAAAATAGACTTAAAGTCAACACGAAGAATTGGACTTCATTGAATATTCTTATTTATACCTTATTTCAGTCTTGTTGACTTGAGCGTTAGCTTCACACTTATCTTTTTTATGTATGTAAGTCTAACAGATCGTCGGTGGTCTCAATCTTACAAGATCAGTCCGTTCCGGTAGATTTTACCACCTACAGTTTATTGATTTTGTACCTGTTCTGTTTTCTAGGGAACCTCGAATGAGGGGACTTTTCAAAATAGACTTAAAAGTCAATACTGAATGAAGGATTGGACTTCATTGAATAGTCTTAAAAGTCAAACAATAGCTAATGACTATTGTTTAATATATCTTTATAATAATCTCTCGTATTTTAATAAAGGCCAGCTTGATCTACAAATAACCATTAATTTATTAAGCATGATCAATGATATTTTTATTTAAAAAGCTTTAAATAATAAAATAAGTTCAAATAAAATTATGGTTGTTGACCTCCATTGATGCAGTTCTTTAGGACATAATGTGGTCATCAAACTTAGTTTTAATATTAAAGTTTAAATCAACTCAAATCATTAAATTAATTTCAGGGCAACATTATTCTAATCATCAAATTTCGAGGGTTAGGTTTAAGCATGAATTTAAGATAGTTGCATGACTAACTAAATATTATTACCAACTTCTAATCAAGTTTTAAGTCTTTCTTTATGTTAATATAGTTTTAGTCAGCTTTTTGTATTAGCAAATTATGAAGGCTTTTAGATCTCCATTCTCAAAGATTTCAACAACCCGAATTAAATTTTATATAAAGAAATTGTCAGTTTTGTCCTGTAACTTTAGATTTTCCTTTTGCCACCCCAGATTTTGAACATTACACTTTGACCCATCATATATTCATATATGTATTTAGTATTCACATTTCTCTAAACCCTTTTGTCACGCCCCCTCCTCAGTATCTCTATCCCACTGGATCCAGGTGCTCCAGGAGACTTAGGATTTTGAGAGGAGGTTGAATATTTTGGAAACATTTTGTAAAAACAATTTTTTTTTTAAATTAACGTAAATGAAAAGTAGTATAATTGAATGTTTCAAATGAGGATTCTGAAATCGGAAATAAATAAAATAAATGTCTGAAAATAAGAGTTACAAAACCTGAATACAGAAAACATAGTATCAGAGTGCACTACAATTTTACAATTTTCTAGTTTATCTTTAAAGTGATCTGGAAGAAAAAAAAAAATACTTAAAGAAAAGGAATTAAATATAAAACCTTGAAACTACTACGGTACATAGAAAAGGCAGTTAAACAATAAACTCACCCATGAAGGAATAAATGTCCAATTTTGTGGGATGACCTCTACCTTATTGCCAATGCTTCCTCTAACTTCAATTACAAAATCCTCATTCATATTCGTTATGGTCAATTTCTCCACGGTAGTCAAGCCCTCCAATCTGGTATCTATATGGGCAAAAAATCATCTTGCACTTGACAAGACCCAATAACAAAATAAACATATCACGGCCCAATGCCTTAGCCCAATTCTGGTTGGGCCTACGCTTAAAGTCACCTTGTGAATTGCTCATTCTATGAGTTGTGCTATCTTACAAGTTAAGCTGAACTGGGTTCTGACCCATTAGCCTACAACAATCCATAAAAAAGACACCAGAGTCATATTCTGTTTCCTCTTCTGCTAAGATTCCAAGTCTTACCCAAACTAGTAAACTTAATCTGATAGGGATTATCTCCCAAAATATGGCTCAACGTCCTATTAGGATTTCAATCCCTTGGGTTCACTATAAAAACAAAGGTCTGACCTCTCATTATTCAATCAATCTCCAATATTCAATGTCGACTATTCAAAACCACCTACTTGCTCTTAAATTCTTGCTCACGAGAACCTGACACCTTCGTCGTAGACCTGGCCTCCGACAAGAATCCTAGTAATCTTTCTTTCCCTAATTCTCATTAAATGCAACCTTCCTGACTTGAGCGTCGGAGTGCCTACAGTAAACACCACCCTGGTGTTTTCTGTAAGCTTCACGCTTGTCCTTTCATGTGTACAGGTCTAGCTAATTGTCAGTGGCCTTAACCTCATAGGATCAGAATCTATTTTCGTAATTATAGATTTTTGCATCTACAGTTTGGCGACTACCGTGGGCCCTAACAATCATCCGACTAGCAACGACCTGCTCCACACTTGCCCTTCAGGATTCACTACATAGGTGGGAGCACCTTCATGCTCAGTTACACCTGGCGTCTCAGGTCGATTTGATAGTAACAAATCAATAAAATCATATCAGAGTTGGATCAATAAATCAATCAATGGAAAACTCAACATAACAAGAAACCAACACGGACTTAATCAACTCTTTCATGGAGATCGAGGTAGCCCTTACCTTATCCTATAAGAGCCCATGTTACAAACTCTGTTTTAGTTTCAGAGAAAGAGAGAACACAAAGAAGTAGAATCGGGAAGAAGAGTTGCATTTACTTTCTTTCTTTTTTACAACTAATTGTTTTCTTAAACAATTAAACTAAACTTTATGACTAATCATGTTATGACATTTGAACTTCCTATTTATTATTTACAAATTATTTACATCATCCAATAACTCTTGTATTATCTTTGAATTTATTTAGACTAATTAGGAATAACTAGTTCTTATTTTGATAATTAAGGATGTTTATAAGAAGATCAATACTATTACACTCACAAATTCTTCTCACTAAATTTCTCTTACAAACACGACGTGTCAGCTCGTAATTGATCAGTTCGCAATAGATCCCGCCTGACTAAATGTGAACTAACCAATGCGAGCTGTCACGTTAGCGTTTATGAGAGAAAGTTGTGAGAATTGTTTGTCAACCTATCTTTATTTTAAGAAGATTGCGGTATTTGATAATCATATCCAAGAAGTGCTTTAAAGTATATTAATCATCCAACAGACAAAAGCTATACATAAGCATAGAACATGTTGATGGTTTTCAGAATTTAGAATGAATGAAAACAGCTGCTGAGAAAAGGAATAAATGGAAAAGAAGTAAAAGTTAAAGTGTTCCTCTATTTTATTGCTGTTAATTTCTTTTCACTTTTTCTTTCTTGGATCCAGAACTGTTCCCCGGGTCCCAACAATTTTTTTATGCGTTAAGATCTGAAACTTTGATTATCGTGGGAGAGATAAGCCAATGCATATTTAATGGAGGACCCGCTGGTCTTTTTCAAAAAAATAAAGCCAGACAAAAAGAAATTATTATTGTAAACTTTGATTGTCAAGGAAGAAATGAATTTCATACTCTGCTATTGCATTTCATTACATGTAAGTTATAATAAGAACTTTCTTCCATCTGACTCATGGAATTAACATAAAAAAGAACATTTCCAACACAATTTCATCCCGTGGAAGTTTTTGGTTTTTCAAGAATAAGATTAATGATTAGAAATGATTGGCTTTAGCCTTTTGAGATCTTTACAAAAATTCAGCCTAGCACTGTCATTGCTTGCTAGGATTTGCATTAAAAAACAGATGACATTGTTTATAGAGTTTTATTAAAATGATACGCATATTATTTTTGAAATATTCCCATATTTGCTCTTACATATAGTGTGCTTTGGACCTTTGGTAACATCTCTTCAAGAACAGAGAAATCTTTTGCGTAGAACTGGTAGAAATATTGAGAACACTCTAAAAATAATGGCCCAAATTACGCTGCAGGAGTGAACATAGCTAAGCTAGCTTGATATTGAACTCTGTAAACCATTATAAAAATCTAAGATTTAACAGTGTTAATTTAGAATCTAAGATGATGACTAGAGTTAAATGGAGTCATAAAGAAGATTAGCATCAGTAAGGAAGTCAATGTTTACAGATATTAAATTTGGGATTTACAAGCTTGTCAATGAATTTTTGGATATCTGTTTCTGTTCTGGTACTCCCCAAAATGAAGATCTGCATCACTAAGAAAATATTTTGAGTCTCGTTGAAACAAAAATGAATTTGGTAAAAGTGAAAGCACCCATTTGAGTATCAAATGTAACAACATCTTGCATTTATCTGGAAAATCAATATGTTCAAATCCTTGATACAGCATGGCAGATGCAGGGGCCCGACGGGTTTCTATATGTTCAAGGCGAAACATCTTCTATACATATAGGATCTACCACTACTTTAAAATTTCAAAATGACTTAGAATTTCCTGGCTTTAGATGCTTAAAACCTTATGATTAGTTAAATGAAGGTAACTCTGGTATTATCTTTGAATATATTTAGATTAGCAAAACTGAAAACAGAACAAAAGCAGAGCAGCAGCTGTGTTACAATGCCTTTGTGAAATTAAATTACACAAATTAGAACTATTTTAAACATGTAAAAATATTGCAGTATTCAAAAATCGTAGAAAAAAACAAACAAAGAAGAAAAGGAATATCTGAAGGCTTACAGCATGGAATTCCTATTTTACTTAGCAAGAAAGTAATCCAGTAAGCACTTCAAAGTAAATTAATTATCCAACAGAAAAAAGCTAGAGACAAGAATGGAACATGTTAATGATCTTTCAGCATTTAGAATCAACGAAAACAGCTACTGAAGAAAGGAATGAACGGAAAAGATGTAAGAGTTAAGTGTTGGACGGACCTTTCCTATTTTATTGCTGTTAACTTCTTTTTAATTTTTATTTCTTCAATCTTATGTTTCTTTTTGTAAAGGTTCTGTCTCTTTCTTAAATTCAAATCTATTCCCCAGGCCCCAACAATTATTTTATTTGTTAAGACTTGAAACTTTGATTGTCATGGAAGAAATCAACCGATCCAAATGAACAAAGCAAATTGGATTGTCAAGGAAGAAATGAATTTCATGCAAAATATTATAATTAAAAGTTTTCATCCTCGGGAAGTTTTTGCTTTTTCAAGAATAAAATTAATGATTGAATTGTTTCTATGAATTGGCTTTAGCCTATTGAGATATTTACAAATAGCTTAAACCCGAGGGAGTACTCTTCGTCCCAAACCGCCGATGGAGGATCCTTCTCAACATTCCACTGATTTAGTTATAAGTAATGGAAACGAAATTACTGAGGTGAAGCAATATGAGTCCAGTGAACAAACAGCTGAATCGCGGAGCCTTAAGAATGATGGACCTGTGAATGCGGAAGGTAAGTAAAAGACATTGATATTAAGTAAAGGTTCAGCATTTCTTTTTATTCATTAATATCTTTTTAACTCTTTCATTTGTTGATTCAATAACTAATACATCATAATTTGGATTTAATATAGCGAGCACAAGGGGAGACCAAACCAGTGAGGTGAAGCAAGGTGATTCAGGTGAACAAACTGCAGAATTGCGAAGCCGCAAGAATGATGAACCTGTTAATGCAGAAGGTAATTAATTAGATTGAAATATATTGATTTGGAGTGAAAGTTCTTTCTATTGATCTATCTGTATATAATTCGGAATTCATAGTGAACGAAACGAGTGAGGAGAATGAGGATCATATTCGGTACCAGTCATTATACAAGGCTGTACAAGAGAATGATTGGAAGAGAGTTGAAGATTTCGTAACCAAAGATCACCAGGTGTTGACCGCTAAGATTAAAGTATATCGTGAAGAAACAGTTATTCACATAATTACTCTTAATTTAGACGCCCCCTTTTCACTTCTGGAGAATATAGCATCAAAGGTTGGTCCACAAGCACTAGAAAATTTGAAAAATGAATCGGGCCGGACGCCTATATTCCAGGCTGCTACATATGGCAATACAAAAGCTGCAAAAGCCTTTGTGCTTAAGCACAAAGAATTGCCAAACGTAAAAGACAGCGAGGGTTTACTTCCAATTCACCAAGCTGCAATTCGTGGCCACAAGGAAACAATTCAATATTTACTCTCAGTGACAAAAGTGCCCTTAGATGACACGAACGGTGTCGGGCTGCTTACGAATCTCATCAATTCTGGTCTCTATGGTTAGTGTAAATTTGATCTTACAGCAATACTTTAACCTGGTTTTTCACTGTTAATCTCTACTCCATTGATTTACAGGAATAGCTTTAGATTTATTGAAGCGATATCCAAGGTTAGCACGTGAGAGAAACCAGGACAGAGAACGGATATTGAACATACTGGCTAATAAGCCTTTGGCGTTTGAAAGTGGGAGTCGGCTTGGATATTGGAAACGCTTAATCTATAAATGTTAGTGGTAACAATCTTCTTTTATTTTTTATTTTCTGCAAAGCCTCCATTTGTTCACAAAATTCCTTATATGGTGGTTATTAAATTTGTATTATAAGGGAAGTATACAATCTGTGCAGTGATTCTGGTGCAAGAAGAACAAAATCCTCGCCCTAAAAATGTGGATGGAGACATGGAGAATCCTGTTGGTGATAGATCAAGCAAGTCAGTAACAAGATTCACAAATCTGGAATTTCTTCAACAAATCTCTTTTGCTTTCGGTTTGTACCTCTCTCTCTCTCTCTCTCTCTCTATATATATATATATATATATCATTGTATGTTCTTTCCAAATCATCAATCAATGCTACTTATTAATTAACTTATGATTCTGAAAACTGTTTTACTTATGAAATACAGGTGCTTTCCACAAAAAATTACATATAATTCTCTGGAAAACTCTCATGCTGATAGGTAACCATTCAATTATATATTCTTCTTTGAGGAATAGTCTCTGTAGGATATCTTGATTATCTTCTTTCATTGACTTGATGTGAATTGCAGTCCCAGGCATCAAAAGCATAAGTGAAACAAAGTTAATGCATATGCAAACACTTAAAATAGTGAGAACCATGTGTCATGAGGGAGTGATTTGGAGTAACAAAGAAGCTAAGAAGTCACTGCGGGGACCGATGCTTACAGCCGCAACATTAGGGATTTACGAGCTTGTCAATGAAATCATGAAGGCCTATTTCTATTCTTTTACTTTCCTTAACGATGACGATCATCATCATGATGTATTTCGTCTTGCAATTCTTCATCGCCATGAAAATGTATTTTGTCTCGTAAATAAAAGAAATGTTTTACTTTCGTGGCACCGGGACATGAAGCAAGTGGCCAACATGAGTATAAAAATTAACAACATTTTGCATTTGGCTGGAAAGTTTATACCTTCTAGTCAAATCCCAGGTGCTGCATTGCAAATGCAGAGAGAACTACAGTGGTTCAAGGTGATAAATCTTCTATATGTCAGATCTAATATAGCAATAATTAATTTTTTGAAAATCAGAATTATTACTGTTAATGCCTTTTGTTATCTTTAGGCTGTGGAAAGTTGTGTCCATCCATCCCTTCAAGAACAGCGAAATGAGTCCAATGAAACTCCTAGACAGGTGTTTACCAAAGAACATGAAAGACTAGTCGAAAAAGGTGAAAAATGGATGAAGGAGACTGCTTCATCATGCACACTTGTAGCTGCACTTATAATCACAGTAGTCTTTGCAGCAGCTTTCACTGTACCAGGCGGCAATGACATTGAAGGTATACCCACTTTCTTGCACAAACCATCTTTTATTGTCTTTGTCATATCAGATGCCCTTGCACTCTTTTCTTCCACTGCTTCATTGCTAATGTTCTTGGGCATCCTCACTTCACGTTATGCTGAAGAAGACTTCCTCGACTCCCTACCAAAGAAATTAATTATTGGTCTTATCGCGTTGTTCTTCTCAATTGCAAGTATGATGGTAGCATTTGGTGCAACCATTTACATATTTCTTTCTCATCCATGGAAATGGGTTATCATTCCAATTTCCTTACTTGGATGTGTCCCAGTGTCCTTGTTTGGTTTGCTGCAATTTCCTCTTTTGGTTGAAATATTCTCATCCACTTATGGCCTAGTATTTTTCAAGCAAGGTAGTAAGGATGTAATAATTATCCAGGGGAGTTGTACAATTTATTTATTTAGTTAATTAGGTCATTTTTTTTTTATGGAAACATTAATAGAAGGAGATGAATTTAATTATTAAGAAGATGAGAGTTGAATTGAACAATGTGGAGAATGATTGTTAATACACACTACTAGGAAGGTAAACAAAGACGATGTTTTAAGACGTCTTCTATTTCATAGAAAAACGTCTTTTAATTTATAGTAAAATGATTTTTTTTTTCAAACTTTATTTTAGAGTAAATGATTTTCTTCCACCCAAATAATGATTTAATGATACTTTCCCACCCAAAACGTTTCAAAATACAATTTTACTATCCAAACGTTATATTCCATTAATGATTTCCATTAACTACATTGATATTTATTGTAAAGACAAAAATACCCTTTACTATTTGGCTTAAATTATTTTTATTATTTTTTTGTCATTGTGAATTACTAATATACACTCTTCAAACATAAAATTACTAATATGCCCTCATATAATATAAATTAGGAATAAAATTTATTCTTCCCTTCTTTTATTTAAAAAAAAAAAAAAAAAAAACCTCTAAAGGTGCGTTTGGTTGTGGGTTATATGATATTACTGAGGTAATGTTATCTTATATTACTTGATTACCCTATTTGGTTGTCAAGTGATATAAGATTCCAGTAATCTTGCAATACTAATAATAGTTATTGTTGATAATATATAAGATAATCTGAGTACCTTTATTTTCTTAGGTATTTTAAGATTACTTGGTAATCTTATTTTTATTACAATTCTATCCCTTATTAATAAAATTTTAGAACAATAATGCCCTTATTTTAAAAACAATTTACAAAAATATCAATTGACTATTTTATCCTTATATACAAAGTTTTTAGGACATAAATACCCTTGAAATTTAAAAAAATTATAAAAGGGTGGTGGCTGGATTTGGCCATCACCGCCAGTCGCCGACAACCATCGCCGGCTGCGACAGAATGGCATATGGCCGACTATGCACGGCTAAGGCTATTTCCAGCCCAAAAATAGCTAGATATTTGGCCATGAAAAGGTCGTCTTTTCACGACTAGATCTCCACTTTCGTCGCCGCCAGCGGTGGTGGCAAGCTGCCAACAGTGGCTTGCAGTAGGTGGGATGATTTTGTTAAGTTTTAAACTTTTTTTTGTTGTTGGGGTGTTTTAGCTAAATCTAAAATATAGGGGGTTAAAAAAATTATTCAAATAATAATAATAATAATTATTATTATTATATTTAAAAATGAGGGCAATTTAATAAATTATATAACATACCCACCAATTTATAACCAAACATATTAATATAACATACCTACCAAACACATTTCCCTAAACATTTCCAGTAATCTTCAAGGTAATCTATCTTTTCATTAATAAGACATTCCTAGTAATACAACATTCCTGAACCAATTCCTAGTAATACAACATTCCTGAACCAAACGCATCCTAATTGTTTTCTCTTTTCTTCCATCTCTTCTCCTCTTCTCTTTCTTCTTAATTTCTTCTCCCTTTCATTTACATTTTCTTGTCTTTTTCTCATATCAGTTCTTCTCATTTTTTTTTTTAATTTTATTAATGATTTTCTTCTCAGTTTACTTACTCAAGAATAACATTTCCAGTGAAAATAAATTTTGTCACCAAAGAAAGCGTCCCTAAATACAATTATCATCATAATTCCCTTCTAAAACAAAAGTCTTCAATTTTGTCACCACCCAACCAAATCGGCAACGGAAAGTTGGGTGGGGATAATTAACAAATAGGTGGTGTGCAGGCTGGGCTGAGAAGTGAATAGAGGTGACTAGTAGGGTTAATCAGGCCAGAACAAACACAAGAACACTCAAAATGAACAACCAAACAACACCCAAACTTCAATATAAACTTCAGAATACTCCATCAATGTCAGAAAAAAAAAAAAACCATGACAAGAAAATTAGAAAATACAGAACAACAATCACGGCGCTGCAGGCAGTAATCGGCGAGTAGGGGTGGACGGTGTGTGAGTGGGTTTTGAAGAGCAAGCGAGGGATGTGGTACTGTGACGATGAGAAGTGAAGTGGGTGGGTTGGTGCTGCTATGCGGGAGATGCGGGGAGGGAAGGTGGTAGGGAAGTGGAGCGAGGAAATTGTAGGTGGGCGAAGCAATGGAGGGAAGGTAGTGGGAGGCATAGTGAAGAGAGGAGAAGTGAGGAAAGACTGGCAGTTTTGGCTTTGGTTCGGTTTTGAGAAAGAATACTCCATCAATGTCAAAAAACAAGCCACGACAAGAAAATTAGAAAATATAAAACAACAATCACTCGAAATAAACAACAATGACGGTGCTGCAAGTGGTAATCGACGAGCCGGGGTGGACGGTGTGTGAGTGGGTTTTGAAGAGCAAGTGAGGCGTGGTGTGACGGTGAGAAGTGAAGTGGGTGGGTTGGTGCTGCTATGCGGGAGATGAGGGGAGGGAAGGTGGTGGGGAAGTGGAGCGAGGAAATTGTAGGTGGGCAGAGCAGCGGAGGGGAGGTAGTGGGAGGCATAGTGAAGAAAAGAGAAGTGAGGGAGGATTGGCCGTTTTGGCTTTGGTTCGGATCTGAGAAAGAAAATATTAATGAAAGAAAGAAGAAGGATGAAAGGAAAAAAAAAAAAAAAAAAAAAAAAAAAAAAAAAAAAAGGAAAGAGAAGAGAATGAGAGAAGAAGCATGAAAAAAAAACACGTGGCAACAATTACCTACACTTGAATTTAAAAATTTTGATTTTTTTATGCAAAATATTAATGGACCATTCTATCTTTTTTTTTTAACGAATTTTTTACCATTTTACACCTTGTTAGTCGTTACAACTAAATTTACTAACCGAAATTTGTTGTGGGTGGTAAAATTGTATTTTGAAATGTTTTGGGTGGGAAAGGATCATTAGTCCATTTTTTGGGTGGGAAAAAGTCATTTACTCTTTATTTACACCAACATTTTATAGAATTAATATATTTAATACTTTTCATGTTAAAAATTAGATTAACTATTTATATTATAAAAACATTAAAGAAGACTTTTTTTTTTTTAAATATCTGATAATCTTTAAAGATGTTTTAATAGAACAATAATGATAGGTTCACAACCTTCTCTCATAATTGGTCAACCGTCGACGTGACAATTCATCATTGGTTAGCTCATAAATGGGTAGAGTGAAGCTCTAAAAACTGCGACATATTTACTAAATAAGGTTCCAACCAAGGCGGTTCACAAAACGCTGTTTGAATTATGGAAAGATTGGAAACCTAGTTTAAGACATGTACATGTACAGGGCCAGCTGAAGTTAGAGTCTACAATCCACATGAAGCAAAGTTAGACTAGAAAAAAAAAAAAAAAAAAAAAGTCATTGGATATTTCATTGGCTATGCAGAAAAGTCTAAGGGATACAAATTTTACTATCCATCTCGTGCAAGAGAATCATGGAATCTAAGAATGCAAGTTTTCTTAGGAATGATGAGCCAACCTTAAAACTTTGGTTGTGTTTCCTAATAATCATCAGGATTTGATAACTCAGGGACAACCAATCGTTGAAAAACCACATCATCATGAGGATATTCCTATAGATCCAATTACTCAGCATTCTCTAGTTGACGATGTTGATGTAACATTAAGAAGATCTTCAAGAGTTAGTAAACCTACAATTTCTTTGGATTATATTATGTACTTGCAAGACTCTGACATAGATATTGGTGCTGAAGATGAACCTATTACGTTTTCATAGGCTATAAATGGAAATAAATCCACATTATGGTATGATACCATGAAGGATGAGTTGGATTCCTCGGCTAATAACCAAGTCTGGGATCTTATTAAATTGCTTAAAAGGGGGAAATGCCATTGATTGTAAATGGGTCTTTAAAACCAAACAAGACTCCTTAGGTAATATTAAAAGATATAAGACAAGACTTGTAGCCAAAGGATTCACTCAATAAGAAGGAATTGATTATCACGATACCTTCTCTCCTGTTTCAAAGAAGGATTCATTTCAGATAATCATGGCATTGGTGGCTCATTTTGATATGGAACTACTTTAAATGGATGTAAAAACAACATTCCTCAATGGAGATATAGAGGAAGAGGTTTACATGAAACAATCAGAAGTTTTATTTCAGAGGGGAACGAACACTTCGTTTGTAGGCTTAAGAAACCTATATATGGGCTAAAACAAGCCTCCCGTCAATGGTATTTAAAATTCCATAATGTCATTTCTTCATTTGGTTTTACGAAGAATATTGTGGATCAATTTATATATCATAAGGTCAATGAGAGCAAAATAATTTTCTTAGTCCTATATCTAGATGATATCCTAGTTGCTTCAGTTTATTTGGGCTTACTTTATGAGGTTAAGCGATTTCTCTCGAAACAATTTGATATGAAAGATATGGGAGAAGCTTCGTATGTCATAGGTATAAAGATTAAGAGAAACAGATCCCGAGGGACATTAGGATTGTCTTAAGAATCTTATATCAACAAAGTTTTAGAGAGATTTCGTATGAAGGATTGTCCATCTAGTGTTGCATCTATTGTCAAAGGTGACAAATTCAGTTTGGAACAAATCTCAAGAAATAATTTAGAGAAAACAAACGAAAAACGTTCCTTATGCTTCCGCCGTCGGGAGTTTAATGTATGCTTGGGTCTGCACAAAGCCTGAAATTGCATATGTAGTTGGAATGTTGGATAGAGATCAAGATAACCCAGGTTTGGACCATCGGAGAGCTGCAAAGAAAGTCATGCGATACGTTCAGGGGACTAAGTACTATAAGCTTACATATAGTCATTCTGATCATTTAGAAGTGATTGAATATTCAGAAACTGATTTTGTTGGTTGCCCTGGCTCAAGAAAGTCAACATCAGGATATGTCTTCTTATTAGCAGGAACGACCATTTCTTGGAGAAGTGCAAAACAATTTTTGGTTGCTACTTCTACCACTGAAGCAAAGTTTGTATCATGTTTTGAAGCGACATCACAGGCTATGTGGTTAAGGAGATTTATTTTTGGGCTTGGAGTTGTTGACTCAATTTCCAAGCCATTGAGGATATACTAGGATAATTCCACTGCAGTGTTTTTGGCCAAGAACAATAAAAGCGAAAGTCGTAGTAAAAAAATCAACATTAAGTATTTAGTTATTCGAGGACATGTCAAAGCAAACAAAGTGGTTATTGAGCACATCAGTATTGGATTGATGATTGTTGATCCGCGGACAAAAGGTTTACCACCTATTGCTTTTAAGGGATATGTTGAGCATATGGGACTCAGTTATATTATGTAGTTTTTTTTATGTAACTTAGGTACCCTTTATGTTTGTATCGTATTTTGTTGACTTGAAAGACTCCATGAAGTTCATACTTGTCTTCTCTTATTTAGTTGTATACATAAAGGTTTGGAGAATGATAATGTATGTTTGAATTTCGGTTGTTGACCTTGAATGAGCATTTGGAAGTTCATTCATAAAGTTGTGTACCACATATGGTTATCACTCAAAAGAGAAAGTTGCATTGTAATACATGGAAGGTAATACTTGCTCTAAAAGGACTTACCGTCTCAATTCATGCAATTTAAAATCTTTTGTTTGGTTATAAGGTTATTATATCTATGGGAAATTTTGAGGATGTATCAATGTAGAATTGGTACATATTAGGTGTTGAATGGGCCAAGTGGGAGAATATAAGTTATTGTGGCCCGTTATCATTATTATTATTATTAACTTCCCATATTTATTACTTGTTCCCTATATACAACTTCTTCTTTGATGGATAAGAAGAGATATAGATTGCGTAAAATTTCTACGTAAAAAACTAAAGATTGCACAGAGGGAAACAGGTCACTAGGCTACAAGAAAGTATGTGATTCTCTATCGATACATAGAATAAAGTCTTGGATAGACTAGAACTAATCTCAAGTGTCTCCTACAGTATTTGGAAATTGATTGCTATGGCTAGAGGCATGTTCTTGGGCTTACGCTTTTGATTTATTAAACTGATGATTTATTGCCTATAGTTTTTTGTCTTCAATAGCTAAATATGGTTTTCTAACTGCAGATGAAATATTATGCAGAAAATTGTTTGTAATTTGCATAATGGACTGATACTACAGAGTCAAAAAAACAGAGTTTGTGTGATTCTGTCTGCAGGTTTTTTATTCTGGATTTTCTAGAATTACTTAGATTGATATTGTCAAAATATTGTTTTATTAAAAGCAAAGAGAACTTTAAATATCCTACAAATTACGAAACATCAATATGTTAAAAAATTAACCACAGGGAAAATACCCAAAGACTTCTTCATAGAACAAGTGAAGTTCCAAATTCTGCATAATTTAGGGTCTGTTTGGTTTGTTATTTTGGATAGGATTTTGGAAATAGTATTGGGTAGTTGAGTAGGGTGATTATTACGAGGTACAATTTAAAAATTAACAAAAAAAACCCCCTTAGGTTTGCTAATTCACTAAACACCCCAATATATAATTTTTTTGTAAAATGACAAAAACACCCCCACCCACCCACAGTGCCAGATTCTAGCCACCACCACCAGAATCTGGTGTTACGACTACGGCTAGATCTAGTCGTCAATGGCTACAAAAGGCTAGATCTGGCCGTCAGAGATAGCCAAAGATATGGCTGTCGTTGACGGTCAACGACGGCCAGATCTAGCCTTTTCCTGGATCAGTGAATTAACAGCTAGTTTCGATCGTTTTTAAGCCGTTGTGACAGATTACATCAGCATGATGCATAAGCAACAATATTTAATCCATGCATATTCATACCTAACTTAGGGAGCAGCAAAATAAAATAAAACAGAGTTAATGACATTCATCTCTCTTTATCATCTTCCACAATTACTTTTAATCAGTCAATGCAAACAAGGGAACTAATCACAACCAATTCATGTACAACTCCCCTCTCAACTTTTCTTTTACTGTTTCTCTTTACTACTACAAACTGGGTAGCAAACTAGGATAACATTTTTTTTTTCTTTTTTGAAAAAGAATGAGTGCATTTTATGCTCCATCTCATTTCATGGTTTGTTTATGAGTGAGTGCGTTTTACGCTCCATCTCGACTCACCACATACCTTTCTTTTTTCTTTTCCTATTTGCTTAAACCCAAATTTAGGACTAGCTTAAGAGAAACAATTTTTTATTTTTTATTTTTTTCTTTTAAGGGTTTTTACACTCCTCAATCATGCTTCGTCACCAAGTGTACACAACTTCTCAAGACATATTGTTTCAAACTACAGGATTCAAATATGATTAACTCTATTTTTGAAATATTGCTAACATCCTAGTCAAGGAATATTTCAACAACAAAGTCAAGTTACTATTTCATGCATCACTAGACGTTCAAAGATATGACTTAAAGCATACCTTCCTAAAAACAAATCAGGGGTATCGTTTAAGGTGTACGTGGCTTTGTTATACCAGAGGTTGCCAAGTACTGCTAGGCAGTTTTTAAGGCGGTTCTGGTTTCCAGCCAATATACCCTTAAACTAGGCAGAATTTTTTTTTTTTTTTTTTTTTTTGAACACTAAACTTAAAACACAACCTAAATCAACCTAAATCCCCTCCCCCACACTAAAGCTTACATTGTCCCCAATGTAAGATGAAATGCAAAGAAAAGGCAAAAATAACCAAAATTAAAATGCAAGAAAAGAAAACAAACTCCCCTTGGGTTGCCTCCCAGCAGCGCCTTTGTTTATTGTCGTTGGCTCGACTCAAGGCTTTTCTTCTTGCGATGCACCTAAGTAACATTCTTTCTTCCAAGGAACACGTTCTTGAGGTAACTAGGGAGAGGCTTCAAATCTGGAACGGGTCCTACAAAACAGAGGGTAAGGCCTCTCGTTAGAAATTGGTAATGCAATACAAGGAACGTTACCTGACTGCTGCTGTAACTTTGGAGAATCATTCCATGCTGCAACCGTTTCCTGCAAATCAGTACTAAAAGCTAACTCCTCATTCTCTTCCTCAAATGCTTACTAATGGCAACTCCCAATCCATCTTTTCCATTGAGTTCAAAACTTCCTGTGCTAAAGAATCAACCACATCAATAGCATAAACATGATCATCATCTTCATCATCATATTTCATGGCATCATAAGTCAAACTTAACAATTTCACCATCAAATTCCATGGTAAGTATGCCACTATGAACATCAATCTTAGTCTTGGATTGTTTTAAGAATGGTCTTCCTAACAAAATAGGTGCAGTTTGATCACCATTTTCCATATCAAGTACATAGAAATCTAGGGAAAATTAGCCATTAACTTGTACCAAAACATCCTCAACTACACCCTTAGGTAGGCATTAGATCCTTAGCTAATTGAATCACAACACTAGTTTTATTCAAAGGTCCAAGTTTCAAAGAACATATATGGAATATGGCATGACATTATAGAAGCTCTAAGTCTAACATGGCTTTCCAAACATAGTGTTACCTATCGTACAAGGGATAGTAAACATACCTGGATCCTTGCACTTGTGGAAGTTTTCTCTGAATCACTGCAAAACACTCTCCCCACTCTCACCTTTTCACACCTCTTAAGTTTCTGTTTCCTCTTAAATGTGCACAATTCTTTCAAGAATTTAGCATAACGAGGTACTTGTTTATAGCATCAAAAAGTGGAATATTTACCTCGCATCTACGAAAAGTCTCTTATATCTCTGTTCTGCTCATCTTTTCTAGTTCTGCCAAAGCTTGAGGAAAGGTGGTACCGTTTATAATCAGATAGAGGTAGAAACTTATGCTTAGGAACGTCCTCGTCGTTGGGAACGTTCTTGTCTACAATGACGTCTTTCTTCTTTTCTCCCTTCGACGATGCAGGGGCTGCCTTTATTGAATCTCAACCTCTTTACCACTTCTCAAATGATCGCACTTACATTCTCTCTGGATTGACCACCGTTTGAGAGGGTAATTTCTCCGAACTTTGCACCTCCAGCCTATTGATCGCGGTTGCCATTTGACTCATCTGATTCTCCAAACTTTGAACACTGGTTCTCGTCTCCTGTTGAAATTGCAAAGTATTAGTTGCAAGAGACTTAACAATATCTTCTAAAGACATACCAGATTAGAAGTTTGGCTCGGTGTTGTCTAGGGGGGTATGGCTTGGTTACTGCTGTATTTGAGTGGTTTTGATGGTGAGGCTGACTCATTTGTTGATTCCCATAGCCAAGATTGGTGATCCCTCCATCCAGGGTTATATGTGCTCGAATAAGGATCATACTTCCTTTGCGTTGTCTAGGAAACCACCTGCTGCATTCACTTGCTCAACAGGCTCCTCTTGAAGAGTTGGGCACATGTCAGATGATGCCTACTACCGAACAAATCCGCAAGCCTTCACTGTTTGCATGTTCCTACAACCATTTGACGAACAAGAGAAGTTAGACTAGAGATTTGTTGTTCTGGGAAAGAATATTTACCTCATTATCACGCCTAGATGGAAGGTCAAGCCTATTGCCAAACTGTTGGAATTGGCCGCCATATTTGCAATCAAGTTCCTCCGGCCTCAGGGGTCTTATCCACCAAAGCTGTTCCACTTGCGCATCAATCATGCTCCTATCGTGTATGTGAGGCCCTCATAGAAGTAGGATCAGTAACTGCTCACTAATCTGATGATGGGGGCAGCTTCACACATTTTCTTAAAACTTCCCAGTATTCATGTAGGGACTCTCCGTTGTGCTGCCTTACACCACAAATTTCTTTCCAAATGTTGGCTGCTCTCGGAGCTGGGAAATTTTCTCCAGAAATAATCTCTTCATCTCGTTCCATGTGTTATAGTTCCAGAGGGTAGATAATAGAGCCAATCCTTAGCCGAATCCTTCAAAAAAATAGGAAGGCTCTTAATTTAATTTGCTCCTCGGTCACCCCTGTAGGTTTCATACTCGTGCAAACCACATGAAGCTCCTTTAGATGCTTGTGAGGATCTTCACCTGCAAGACCATGAAAAGTGGCAAGAGATGTATTAGTCCAGATTTTAACTCAAAAGTAGTAGCAACATCTAAAACGGAAATGTTATGCATAAAGGTGCTTGATCAAATCAGGGGCAGCAAGCT